TGGCTCTCTCTCTGTCTCGCGAATGTGCGAGCGGCCCAGGCGGTGTGTGCGATGCTCTCGTGGGGCCGTTGATGCGATCCGCCTGACTGGCCGATTGGTGTGTGTGAGAGGGGGCAAAGGCGGACAGCCGGCCGCCTGTGGGAACGGCTGAGCGGTCGTCATGTCTGTCTGTCTGTCTGTCGCATTGGGTGTGGGGGACACTCGTGAGTGATTGTGGGTGGGCGGTGGGCTGACTGACTGGGGAGGGGGGGCGATGCAGCCATGTCCGCCTGCAGTGGTCTGGTCGGTTGTGTGTTGGGGGCATCTGCACACACACACCCGCTCCCGCACACACCAGACGGCCGTGCAAATGCACCCACACACTCAAAAACAAGTGTACAGTCCATCTAGCGAGAAAAGGAGGGCTGGTTTTCCTTGTCGTGCGGGAATGTCTGCTTATCTCTGTCTGTGTATTGGGTGGGTGTATGGTCATTGTACGTGTTGGCAAAGCAGGTGTGTGGGAAGTGGTCAGCTCGTGACGTAAGACCGATTCCTTCAAGACGTTGACCCGCGCACGGCATTTCCGAACCTACAGCGGGTCAACACGAGAGCAGCCGGTCAACACACACACAGACTTAGTCGTTCGTTGATCTGAACCAGTTGATCTCAGTAGTGCATCCAGATCATCCGAGAAAGACATCCGTCATCCAATCAGGCTCCCCTCTTCTCGCTACCCGCTTACTGCCGTTTGTGGCGCGGGAAGAAAATCCTTTGCATTTGGTGTTTCACCTGTGGCTCGTCGTCTCCTTGCGCTTGTGTCCAGTCAGTCATACGTATAGATATATACATCGACTTAAATATACGCTGTCTGCCTGTCGATCACATTTTTAGTTCTCTTTTTTAATTCTCTTCGAAGTCAAGCGCCATTCTAAGTGCCCCACAAGCGTGTGGTAGACGACCTTTCTGACCCGCGCCTTGTCGAACTTGACACGCAGACCTGGTTGGTGGAAGAGAAAACAACACGTGCTTCTGTCCAGACTTTTCTGTCTGTGTGCCCGCGTGTCGAACACTCGTCCATCAGCTGCTTGTCTGACAGACAGACAGACAGACGAACAGGCATCCTGCCTGTCTCTTTGCCGTGTATGTTTGTGTGTTGGTGATGCGCACGTACAGCCTTTGAGACACTCAGGCCTGTCTTCCTGCAGCCCTTGGAGGACCTTCTTGGCCTGCTGCAGTTCGGGGTCATCCAAACTGCACACACACACACACACACACACACACATCCGCCACTCACGTCAGTCACGTTGATGAAAGATACTGACTGCAGTTGCTCCAGCTTAGCCTCGAGGTCGCGCTCTGCCCAATCAATCCCGTCTAGAGCTTTCTCCGTCGCGTTCACCATGCACTGAAGCGCGTATGTCATGGGCTCAACCGTCACCTCCTTCTCTCCCTGGTTGATTGATTGGTGACAAACGAGGATTGGCTTTCAAGCCAGCGAACCTATCGCGTGCAGCGCTCGCAAGCCTACGGTAGTCGATGGTGATTTGAGCCATTCCAGACTCTCATGAAAAGCTAAGTTCTGTGACACACACGCACGCACACACACACACACACACACACACACAGACACCAGAGTCCGTGATAGGCGCTCGCTCACCAGGATCCATTCGGCCCTGGCACTCACAACCGTCTAACCACACACACATATGCACACAGGTGGGTAAGGTGGGGTGTGATGTGCCTGCCTGCCTTGCCTGCTTACACTTGCGTGAAGGGCACTTTCAGCCTTCGTCTTGTGCACGCGTCGCATCCTGATCAGCAAGCGATCCACATGGAGGTGTGGACGGGCCCGAGCTGTGGTGAACCGCGGTGGCGTGACGAATGGTGTGCTCGTGCCGGTGGCTTCAGACAGTGCTGCTGCAGTTGGCAAAGGGAGTGTCATGACGACCTGATGCGCAGGCAGATCCAGGACGATAGCCAGCACCGCAATGGCCCAAAGCCACTGCAGCCAGTTCACCACACACACACGCAAGACAGTCGCGACGTGATACCCTAAGGGTGAGCATGCATCTGTGTGTCCATACCTGTTGCCCATGGTGTGATCTATCCATCATGGGCGTGACACACACAGCCCTCCGCGTGTCACGGAAGAAACCACGCGCCTCTTGCCGCACCCTGCAGGACACACACCGAAAGAAAGACGACGGGACTCATAGATTTCCGTTGAAAGCAAGTCATCCAGTCCGTCTTGCCTACCTGAGCTGCGCTGGTGAGCTTCGCGACGATGAAAAAGGGAGAACGATCGACTACAAGCCGAGCTCGCATTTCTTGGCGCCAGATTTCGAGAGGTAAGTTCTCTGAGGTCCGTGTGGACAGATGCGCACGTGTAACACTTGGACAACACAACACTCGTTCGCTGTGTTTGTCTTCAGCCTTCGTGGTGTTTGTACCCGCCTCGAGATTCAGGACGAAGTGGTCAGGAAGGTGACTGTTTGTCGAGCCCTTGAAAGCTGAGAAGGTAGCCCATGTGATGGATAGATGGGCTCATGTGAAAACAGTGTGACACACCATTTGTGTGTGTGATGGTTGGTTTATGCCTCCCTCCCTCCCTCCCTCCAGCAGGAACTTGAGCAGGAATTCGAAGGAAGGATGCATCGGTTCGCAGCCCTCTCACTGCGGCACACAGCCATGGCGGCAAAGGTACACACACATCGGCCTGGATGGATGGATGGATCAATGAGTCACGCCTTACTCGGGATCTGTTATCTGCAGGTGTCGCCGGCGCGTTTCGTGTGCGTGGCCAAGGCGGGGCTGCAGGCCACAGGGAGCTCCTACACCGGTACACACAGCACCAAACACAGCAAAGGAGCACAGCAAGGCCAAGTAGGCAGTCGTATATATGTGTGTGTAAGTAGGTGTCAGTGTGTCGTGTCGGATGTTTGCGACTGCCGGGGCGCGGATGAAGGCGGAGGACTGGTGCGGCAAGGTGGGCAGCTGACACACAGCACATGAGGGAATGGCACCTTCGCATACACATGATAACACACGTGTGCGTGTCTAGATCTTCGATGCGATTGACTTCAATAAGGTACACACGGATGGCATGCATTAAGGTTGGTTATCATTCGCACGTCGACACGTCTGCCTTTCATTTGCCCGTCCATCCTCATTGATTCACCCGTCCTTCCTAAGAACGGATACCTGGACAAGGACGAGGTGAGTGAGCCATTTCAGCTTGACGCATGTGCGTGCCCCACTACACTCGCCGTGTGTGTGTGTGTGTTGCGTGTCTGTCTGTCATCAATCGCCAGGTCAAGAAGATAGTGCTGTGTTTCGGGGAGAACCACGAGCAGGCCGAACTGAGATGGGCCAAGTGAGTAGGGCGAGCAAGCAACGACGCCTAACACACACACACACACACACGCACCCACCCACCACATGCAGGCTGCTGGAGCATGTCGACACCAACAAGGACAGCAAGATATCCCGGTGAGTACGGACACATATTAGCATATGCGTGGCGCCCGATCACTGTCTGTCTGTCTCTTTCCTGACGGGGGTGTGTGTAGTTCCGAGTACGTGTCGTACTGGAAGAACCAAACAAGTGACAAAGTCGAAAAGGACGGTACACAAGCACGCAGGCAATCACGTGGACAGACTGGCTGGCACCTACATGTCCGTGTGTGCGTGTGTGGGTGCAGGTGGCTACAGCAAGGACTACGAGGAGTATCTCGCCAACTATATCGGTACGCACAAGCATACCCACTGCCTGCCTCCATTGGACCCTGCATGTCTTGTGTTGTGTTGGGCTCTTGTTGGGCTCTGCGTGTGTGTGTGTGTGGTTTGGCGCAGACCTGCTCAAAATCAAGGTGAGTCCGAGCTGACACGCTTCCCTCATCACGACACCGTGACGCCGTCAACTTGTCTGTATTAGCTGCGTATGAACACACACACATATACCATTTTTACCAATGGTTGGTTGGTTGGCTGCTTGCATGTGGCTGGTTGGTTGGTTGGCTGGATAGAGCCAGCAGCACGAGCAGGAACTGGCAGACGAGAGAAGACAAGATACCGACACTGACACGGCAGCTGTACGCAAGCTACATCACACCACACCACACACACACAGCGGACAGACAGACAGACAGACAGACAGACATCCCTGTGCGTGTAATGTACTAATGATAGCCTATTTGCATGAGCGTGCTTCGATACTTACACCGCCACCCTGCAATCACGTGCTCTCTTGTCCCGTGTCTGTGTGTCTGTGTGTGTGCAGGCCAAGAGCGTTATCGGCGGCAAGTGATGATGGACAGACCGGCACACACGGACGGCCGGGAGGGTGGATGCCCACAGACTGCCCGCAGTAGTGGATGGATGGATGGATGGACGCATGCGCATTTTGTCTGTCTGCGTGGGTATATCACTAACATATACAGTGTGTATGCAATCAATCGATCGATCATGCAGTCTGTTTGTCGGTATGTATGGTGTGGTATGGGTGGGTATGACGCATGACTGACTATAGAGGTTGGTTGGCTAGACGGCCGTGTGTGTGCAGACTGACACTTCTTCTGTGTGTAACTGGGCGGGCCGGGGAGTGGGTGGGCGAGCGGTCGGGGGCCCATGCATGGATGGATGGATGGACGCGCGAAGGACAACCTAGCGCAGGCTGTCTAGTCTCGTTTTGTCCGTCGTTTCGATCGAACGAGAGACCCATCATGGTCCTTCACGTACCCTGCTTATGGACATGGACCAACTCAAGGCTGTGTTCGACGCACTAAAGCTACACAACACAAGAAAAAGCTAGCTAGCAAAAGCAGCAGCTCGTTGCGCACTCGAGTGGGGCTGCCGACACCTGACACAAGACACACACATTACACACACACGGGGGCTGTGGGCCCTGTGTGTGCCGGCTGCCAGCCAGTGGATTGCATTGCGTACGTGTGTTCGGGGCAGAGTTTGTCTTCGGTCGGCATCGGGGCCATCCACTTCTCAAAACACTCCTGACACACAACCTGACACACACACAGACGACACGCAGAAACGTATTGCTCTTTCTCTCTGTCCCATGCAACCGTGTAAGCCTTCTGACTCACTTTATGTCCGCAGGGCAGCAGGATGATGTCTGGCGGCTTCTCTAAGCACAGCTGGCACTTGCTCTCTCCCAGCCAAACACCGCCACCCACACCACTGCTGCCACTGGACGATGGCGCAGCACATGGGCCATTTGCCTGTGCCGAGCTGCTGCTGCTACTAGCACTGGCAGCTGCTGCTGCTGGTGGTGGTAACGCGCTGGCGTCATCCACGGTGAGAGAGAAGGGCATGCAGGGGACGGTGGCGTGGAAGGGGACAGCTGCTGCTGCAGACGAGGATGGTGCGGATGGTTGGCTGGGCTGCTGCAGCTGGATCTGTCGCTCGATGGCGGCCTGGTGCACTAGGGCGAGGTCGTCGAGCAAGCGACGCACCGACGGCAAATCGAGAGACGACACGCCTTCAGCACTGAGACGACTGCACCACACACAGCAGCAGACATGTCCACAGCTGCTTCCGGGGTGTGTGTGTGGTGACCTGTGTGGTGGCTGTGCCGATGACAGCTGCTGCTTGAGCACTAGGTTCTCCCGTCTCAGCGGCGCCTCCGCCTCGCGCAGCCGACGCAGCTCGCCGTCTCTCTCCTGATCTACACGCGCTGACCTGCACACACACATCAACACACACATGTCATAAGATCAGCAGCATCTGTCGGAGGATGGCCTCCTTCTCTCTGTCTGCTTGGCTGGCTGGCTGACCTGATTCGTTCTTCCCTCAGTCGTTGCCTCAGCTGATCCCTCTCGCGCGTCACGTCGGCCAGGGCCCTCTCAACCGCCACACGCATCTCTGTCTGCTGCTCGATGGCCGTCCGGTGCTGCGCCCTCAGTTCCAAAATGGCCGACCGGTGCTCGCCACGCAGTCGGTCCAGCTCCTCTCTGTGCTGCTTGGTGATGGTGTCCATGTGTGTCTTGGCGGCCTTGTCGGCCTCCTCCCGCACCAACTGGCTCACTCGACGCACACGGTCGTCGGCACTGCACACACAGACACCAGACAGACAGACAGACAGACAGGGGGGGGTTCTTCATTGTGTGTGTGTGGCGAGTTGGGTTTACGTCTTTTGTGTCTGTTTGATTTGTTTGTCTTTGTCTTTGAGGATGTCCTCGAGAGTGCTGCGCTGCGCGTCGGCGGCCTTCCTCTCCTTCTCAGCCATCTCCCGCGACGCAGCCAACTCAACGGTCAACCTACACACCGACGCACACATCCACACAACACACATAAGAGATGTCCACGTGTGTATCCGTGCGTGTGACGTGATGGACATGGTGTGACTTGAGCACCCACCCGTTGATATCGTCTCTGGCTCGTCTGATGCTCTCGTTGAACTGGTCCTTCTGCTTTTTGTTGGCGTCAAGCGCCCTCCTGAGCTGCTCCTTCAGCTGCTCAAGCTGCGTCGTACGGGCATCGTGGGCCTCTCCAGCTGTGCTGCCTGACGGCTTGTGCTGCGCTCGTGTCGGCGATGATGACTTGGCGGACCGGCAGGAGTCACCCGTCGGGCTGGCCGAGCGACCCACACTGTGACACACACCGAGAGAGAGAGAGAGAGAGAGAGAGAGAGAGAGGTGCCATCTCTCTCTAGGTGCATCTGTCTGTGACTCTCTGACATGAGTGTGAAGACGGGAAGGAAGCTGTGTTTGTTGGCTGCCAGAAAGGGGTCAATGGGTGGCCGCCCCGGCGCCTTCTTGAACATGCCCTCGCGCCGCTCACGCACGGCCGCCTTGTGCGCATCCGACGTGTCTGCAGAGCGCTCCCACATGGCCAGCAACTCGGCGTCCGACAGGTCCTCGGCGGCCCCGCTCTCATCACCACCACCACCAGCGGGACTGCCGGCACTCAGGGGCTCGTTCAGCCATGAGGCGGATGGGGCGGCCAGGAGGTCGGATATGACGCGAGAGACCGCCGCTTGGAAGCCGTTGGCGGCCACGCGGATCTCCTAAGTATCCACACACACACACACAGACAGACAGACAGAGAGAGGTGCCGATGAGGCCTGCAAGATTCTTACACTGTTCTCTCTGCTAAAGTCGGCAGCATTGAGGGATATCAGCTTCAAATCCAAACACAGAGACGGCCAGGTCTCGTACACACCAAACTCTACACGCGACTGCACCACAAACACACATGAGTGTGTGTGTGTGTGTGTATGGCTATCAATCAGCACACACCTGTATGTGTGTGAGGTCCGGTGTGCGCGGGAAGCTGTCGTGGAATGCGGGCAGCGGGCACTTGACGCGAAAAGGGCGTGAGCAGGGCGACGCCAGCAGCCGATCCACCACCTTGCGCATCCACCACCTTGCGCATCAGCTCCCCGTGGGGCACAACCGCACTGCAGCCACATCAGGTCAGTCAGTGGCAAGGCTGGCACCGTACCCATGTGTGTGCCTTCACCCACTCACCTCGCCATGCTGCACGCCGTGTATTCGTTTCGTCTGGATGAGTTCCAGAGGTCGATGAGCTCGCCCATGGACAGGTCGCCGCGCGTATCGACGGCATCCTCGTCGACATTGAGCACGGTCTTGCTGACCCTATCAGCGTCTGGACCAAGCAGCTCCTCGTCTACCGGGTCAATGAGTGGCCGATGCCGGCGGACTAGGCGGATGGCGACGGCAGACAGCTCCGTGGCAGCCACGGAAACCTCCTGTGCGACCACGAGAGGAGAGGAGAGGAGAGGAGAGGGGAGGGGGGTGTGGGGCGGACATCATGGCGTGTGGTCCGTACCGAGCCCGGCCTGGTGAACCTGCTCGCATTTCTGGCCATCTCGATCACATAAATGGCCCACTGGATCCAGTGGTTGCAGGACTGATACACACACGTAAGGACACGACAGCACGTGTCCGTCGGGTGGGTCTGGTGCCTCTCTCTTTCTCACCAGCTTCAGGAGCTCAGGGACCACCTTGTTTTCAAGCTCCTGGATGGAGGAGGGAGACCTCCCACTGCTTGAGCGTGGTAGATCGATGAGATAAGTGACAGCCTCGCTACAGATCCGGGCGTAGTCCGGGTGGGGACATGGCACGCGGAATGGGCGAGAGGAAGGGTGACGCCGCAGTGCGGCAGTGGCGGCCAGCATGTCATCCTTCAGCCGCTTCTCATCTGTTGACATTGCAGCTGCCGGCGACCTCGGCGTACTGCACACATGGACAGCAGCAGACGACATTATCGTGACGCTCGACTTGCCGCCTGTTGCCCTCCGCTCACCTGTTGGTGTCTGTGGGGCCCCTGGTAGTGGCGGCTCCGAGTTCCTTCTGCATTAGCTGCTGGCCTTTGCTGAGCTCACTGACGAAGTTCGTGTGCCACTGGGGCAGCCACTCGACACGCACATGCCGCAGCGGACCCAACGCAAACACCGCCGACGGATCACTGCACACACACAGAGCACATGACACCCGTACTACCCAGTGGCTGAGATGCCCATTCTGTTGGGTGACCTTTGCAGCGCTGTGCGGTGGTCCATGAAGAACTTCTTGACGGCCCGCAGGTAGGTCTCCCGCTCCTGGGCCCCATCGCACTCACTCGACTCGACACAGCCGACACCCTCGCCCTCTCCCTGCCCTCTGTGCTGCTGCAGGAATGCCCGCACGACGGCCAGCGTCTCACTGGAGGGCTCTTTGTCGCCCTCTCTACCCGACGTGACGGTGGCGATGTCGGGGAAGGCCTCATGGATGGACTCGACTGAAACGGTGGGTGCGGCTGTGATGGGCGGGGTTGAAGGCTGAGGAGATCTCTGTTTGGGCTTGGGAGTGGCCGGCTTCGACTTGGGCGGCGACTTGGTCTTGTCCTTGTCGGTGAAGATGCCACGGAAGATGCTGCTGGGGACAGCAGGTGGGGAGTGAGAAGCGCTGGGGAAAGCCATGACCAACGGAGATGCATTGGGTTGAGATGATTCATTTGCTTCCTTCCTCTGTGCTCTTTTCCTTACTTTTCGCTCCTGAACCAGTCGAGCACAGAGAGAGAGCCCTGGTCCTGACCCTCTGGGTGTTGCTGTTGCTGCCCATCGTTCCCTTCTTCAGCAGAGGCCGGCTTGTTGCGCGAATCGTCACTCGTGGTGCTTGATCTTGGCTGATTTTCCATACCTGGGGTGTCCTTTGATAGAAGGAAGTGTCTGCCTGCAGAGATAATGAGTCGGGGCTTCGTAGCTCGCCTCCCCTCCGCCTTTTCAAGCTCGCACGAGGCGGAGGAGTTACCGGAAACGATCCGCGATGCTTGTAGGTCTGCTGATATCTGCGCTTTCATCTTTCACTGCCATCCATCCGGCATCTTCGTCGGAGCTCTCTTGCCATCGACACGCAGTCACTGAGGCAAGCAGTCGCGCACACGTGATGAATGGACACACAGCAGCAAACAGACAGACAGACACACAGGCAGGCAGCAACGCAGCAAAGGCAAGCCGCACATCTTGATCAATCCTCATCCGATGTCTGTCTGTCCGTCTGTCTGTCTGTATGTATGTGTGTCTGTGTTTTCTTTGTCTGCAGTTCCATCGTTTCATCCATCTCTCACCACTTCGTCGAAGGCCACTTCGGTCAACGCGAGAAGCCACAGACGATGTCCTTCATCCCGCAAGAAACACGGCCTTCCTTGCGCGACCAAGAATCCACCAAGTCGCCTCCCACCTCCTTCCCTCATCACGGCGCGCAAGACGGCGGCAGAGCTCAACAAGGGAGCAGAGAAAGGCATGCTTGTGCCGCAACACGCGAAGGGACCCGGCTGCGTGTGAGGACGGGCAGGACAGGCGGCGGCTTACGCGCACGTCTGCTTCCAAGGGAGGGTCTGCTGCTGTCGCTGAGCCGCCTGCCGTCCCTCGTGAAGCCACTGGGGGCAAGAAGGACGTCAAGAGGGTGCTGATCGTGATGAGTGACACTGGTGGGGGGCACAAGGCGTCTGCCTTGGCGCTCAAGGACGCCTTGTGGGAGAACTACAATGACAACGTCGATGTCAGAATCGGTACGTGTGTGGATGCGGGCAAGCGTGTGTGTGCACACAGGTCAGTAAATGTGTATGCGTGTGTGTGTGTGTGTGTGTGTGTGTGTGCAGTTGACATCTGGACGGACTATGGTGTGTTTCCCTTCAACACATTCGTGCCCTCTTATCGCTTCATGTCGACCTACCCCATCACGTGGAAGCTCTTCTACGAGTGGACCAAATGGCCCAGCACTATCATGGGCGGGGAGGTGGTCGGACACGCCTTATGTGGCTCGCGCTTCCGGCAGCTGATTGAGTCCTACAATCCCGACCTGATTGTCTCGGTGCATCCCCTGTGTCAGCACGTGATGCTGCGAGTCCTGCAAGACATCCGCCAGATGAGGAACCGAAACATCCCTTTCGTCACCGTCGTGACCGACCTGGGCGGCGCGCATCCATCATGGTTTCACCCTGGTGTGGATCTCTGCTTCGTCCCGTCGCAGCCTGTCCGCGAGATCGCCCTGCAGGAGGGCATTAAGCCCGACCAGATGCGGCAATACGGGCTGCCTATACGGCGGGGCTTCTGGCAGCAGGAGAAGCGGCCCAAAGGCGAGATACGGGACAAGCTGGGGCTGACAAAGGGCGTCCCGACGTGCCTGGTGGTGGGCGGGGGAGAGGGGGTGGGCGGTCTCGACAAAGTGGTGGATGCTCTGGTGGCGTGTCTGGGCACCAAGCCTTTCGACAGCGAGGTGGTCGCCATCTGTGGCAAGAACGGGGCTCTCAGGAGGAGGCTCGAGCGCAAGTACTGTGACGACGCCGCAAACGCCAACAACGGCTACCCGAGAATGCGGCCCAGAAACGTGTCTGTGAAGCCTCACGGCTTCGTGACCAACATGGAGGACTTCATGGCTGCGGCGGACTGCATTGTCACCAAAGCCGGCCCCGGAACCATTGCAGAGTCGGCCATCCGGGGGCTGCCCATCATGCTGTCGTCCTACCTGCCTGGCCAGGAGGAGCCGAACGTGCCCTATGTGATCGATCGCGGGTTTGGCGACTACTCGTCGGTGCCGTCGCAGATAGCGCGTCGAGTGGCGTCGTGGCTGGAGGACCCCAAGAAGCTCCAAGACATGTCGGGGAAGGCGGTGGCGTCGTCGCGGCCGTCGGCCACGATAGACATAGCGACCGAGTTGGGGGAGATCCTCGCCTTGAATAAGAGAGAGAGGAAGAGGCAAAGCTGACGCGGGGAGGCGGGAGAATGGGTGGCCGGGCGGAGTGCTGTTGCTCTATGAGTGTGTGTACATACAGTATATATGGGAAGGAGAGGTTTTTCAGTCAGATGTGCTCTCATGCTGTCGTGTGACGCGTGTGGTGTAAGTAGATTGATTGGCTAAGCAAGCGGGGTGTGTAGATGCCTGTGGACGGACGCCTTTTTGGGTGTATCGTTGGCAAAATGACGGTATGCATGATTTTTCACCCATCGCTCAGCAGGCAGCATCAGTCAGCCTCGGTCGCTATGCACGTGCGATTCCGGCGATAGGGAGGGAGTGTGTGATCGCCTGTGTGCGCTTTAGCATGTCTGCTGGGACGTATTGATGTTGCCAGTTGTCAGGTGGCAGCACAGACGCATCGCAGGCAGACATGCAGACGCCCACATGGACGCATCCACGGTTTTGCTCCATGCGTGTCAGAGACGTGGCCCGATAATTTTTGTACTACCCCTCACTTGCAAGATAGGCACATATATGCAACAGGATAACAGCGCAGTGGCAGCAATGCAAATGCACTCACCCAACACACCCTGTCTGTATGCCGCCCACCGGCAGATAGCAAAGCGTCAGCCAAATGATATATAGATACCCCACCAAAACGAAAGCAAGCAATCAAGAGCAGAAGATGACGGTCCTCAAAGGCGTCGAGCAAAAAACCAGCAAGACAAACTCATCCCGCCATCGACTGCCGTGCGCCCCTCGAGTGTTTTCGTGGCGACACGACAGCGGGCGGCATAGGCACTGGCGGCAGCACCTTCCCGGCCTTCTGAAGGCTGGCCAGGGGTGTCTCGCCCCACATGTCAGCGGCACTCGCAGGCTGTGGCTCCCCCTCTTGTCTCAGTTTTTCCTTGTAGTGTGGGAATCTCGCCAGCTGGATCTCGTTGCCGGAGCGTTTCGTCTGCGCCATCCGGAGAATGCATCGCCGACCATGTGTATGCGTGTGATTGTCTGAGTCTGTTCATTGCTCACCTCGCCGATTTGTTGGAAGATACTCGTCGCCTGTGGTGCATAACGTGCAAATGGATGACAGAAGAGACGGTGAATCCCATGTGTTTTTCAGCACACCCTACCCCACATCCACTCACCCGCGCTTGTCTCGGCGGCGTCAACCTCGAGCTTCCAGCTTCCTGACGACAAATAGGGAGCTCATCCCTACAACGAAGTATCTCTTGTGTCACCCACCCACCGGGGCAGCAGCGGGCGGCGCTTGTGAGGGAGACACCGACCTCTCAGACGGCGTCTGGACGGCGGACGGGCCCGCCCTCGATCCCACACGCTGGTCGCTCGGTGGCGTGCGCGACGGCTCTCTCGGTGGCTGCTGCTCGAGTGACGACGGCGCGAAGCCGTTCGCTCCCACTGCTGGACGGTCCGAATGAGAAAGAACAGGCACGAAGCCACCCTCTGTGACACGACAGAGGCTTTGAGACACACACGTTGACGCCTGTACGTTCTGTGCCTCTTTCTATATACCTTTGCTGGGTGTGACTGGTCGGGAGCTCTTGGTCGAGAGCTGGCGGGAGAGGTGGTGCAGCTCTGACTCGGCCTGGCAGAGGAAAGAGCGCACCTGTCAAGTGCCTCCTTGCTGACTTGTTGCTACGGCTGACTGACTGACCCTTCTGCGTGCGTTGCTGGTGTCGCTGAACTGCACCAGGACCTGACGCAGCTGACCCTGCATCCGACTGAACTCGGCATGGACATTTGCGCATTAGAACATAAGTGCATGCCCGCACACGCACATGGCCAGTCTTGCGTACCCGTATTCATCTCTCTTTTCGTCCATGTCTGTCCGCAGGTTGGCCAGCTCGTCAGCCACGGGCCCCTTGAGGTGGGCGACCTCTCGTCTGAGGACCTCGATGTCTTGCTCAAGGAAGCTGCCCCATACACACACACAGGGAGAGAGAGACTCCATGTGGGTGTGCGTGTGAGGTCTCTCTGAGTGCCGACCTGTGTTTGCCGGTGACTTGTGCCTTGACGGCTTCCAGCTCCCGGGCAAATGCGTCGTTTCTCTCGTCTGCTGATGTCGATCTGGTGTCGATTTGCTTCTGCAGCTGGGCTAGACGGCGCTTCATGAACTCAGTGGCCTGGTGGATGAGACACGGGAGCTTTGCTCTTGCAATGTCTCCATGAATCAAAGTCCGTGCTGTAGATATGCATACCTCTTGTATGGCCTCCATTGCCGTCTGTCGCTTGGAACTCTCGGCCGCAAACTCCTCCATCTGGGCTGCACGCACAGGGGAACAGACCACATCCATGCAGATCCACGGAGGTGCCCAATTGCGTTGCTGGCTCACCGACTGACGTCTCGCTGATTTCTGAGACCTTGTCACGCATGATCGACAGCTGAGAGTCGTGGTCCTCCGACTTGCGCTCAAGACACTGAACCACACAACACACCGACCCTGTTTGTCCGCGCGTCTATCGTGATAAGAAGATGCCTTTGCTTGCCTCTATCCGTTGCGCCAGCTGGTTCACTTGCGCCTGCGTGTCTCCCAGCCTCCTGTCGACGCCCTTGATCGCGTCATGCAGCGCACTGCAAACACAAGCAACCAATCACGGATCCTCTTGCCGTGTGTGTGTGTGTGTGTGTGTGCATCTACATTTCTTCCCGTCCCATCTGTGTCCGTATTTACTGTATGTCCATGGCCATTGTCTCCACCAGGTGCTCCAAGTGTGTCAGCCGATCGATGACCGTGTGGGGCTTTCCGTGGCTCACACGCGTCACACGCGACTCGCGCTGCGACGGCAGCTTGGTGCCACGATGGTGGGCTCCCTTGGCCACCAGCAGCGCCCGTCTCGACCGCGGTGGATGCGGTTGAAGCAGGGAGGATGATGGGGGGCCTTGTGGGGACGACAGTGGGGGCGGTGTGGATATGGAGAGGGGAGTGGACGATGGGAGCGGTGTAGAGATGGTGTGGTGGCGGATGTCCTGGCCGCCAGTGCGTCGCGGGAGCAGGGTGGAGGTGGTGTCTTGGACGTCGTGCAGGAGCCTTCGTGCGGTGTCTTCGTCGATCCCAAGTAGCTCCCACATGACCCGCTGAGCCTTGGTGTTGTTGTCAAACTGCTCCTGGACGCGTTTGCTTTCCTCGGCCATCTTACGCAGCAGCTCTGACGCACACGTGCATGCGTCTCCGTGTACTTCTACACTTGTATGTGTGTGTCTCCCTTTGTTTGTGCGTGCGTACCTTCCTTCATTGAGTCGATGATGACTGAGTGGAGAGAGCCCGTCTTGTCGACAGACGATAGCAGCCGCTCCATGTCCGTCTTCAGAGACACGATCTCCGTGTGGTCCACCTGATCGTACAAAGCAAGCTTCGCATCGGTCCGCTGTCAATGTTCTTTTCTTGCCTTTGATCTCAGAGCAAGGTCGACGGCGACCACGTCAGCCTGCATACACGTAGACAAACCTGAACATATAAATCTTTGAGGCCCCAATGCTTCCACCCACCTTTTTGCTGAGCTCCAAATCGAGGCTATCGCGTCTCCCGCTGAACACTGTCGTAGCGGCCTGCATGGGCAATGCACACCACCGACAAACGAAGGGATAGATGTTCGTCTGTGTCCTCTGCAGCGAGACCCCAATTTCCCCACCGTTTCAATCATGGTTCTCATTTTCTGCACATCTTTGGCCAGGTCCTGCGAGTCCCTGCTTCTTGTGTGCCCTGCCAGGCGCCCCTCGATCCCCTTGACGGCCGTCAGGGGGGCATAGGTGGTCTTGCAGGTCTCGTCGAAGCCCTCCAGCTTGACCTCCATGCGGCCCTCGATGTCCATCTTGAGCTGTGTGAGCCACGTCCGGACGACATCGGCGTAGGCCATGCTGCCCAGCTCCCTCTCGAGTGTGTGCAGCACCTTCTGCTGACGCCGGCAGATGTCATACAGCTCACTCGACTGACAGGGAAAAGATAAGTGGGCTTGATGACAAGGATGTGGTGTCCTTCCTGTACTCTTTAATGACTGACCTCTTTTTCGAGTTTGTTGATTCGGTCGTTGATCATTATGCTGTCGATAATGCGTGTCGGAGCACGGTTTGTGACGATCCCAGCCATGATGGTGCGTGATTGTTGCAGTGACAGAGCAACAGTGTTGCAATGTCGGTGTCGGAAAGCTCTTCTGTGAAGCCAATCGGGTTGCCCTTGCTCCCACGGAGAGAAGACCTCTTCGGACCGGAGATTTCAAATCGGGGGGAAGAGCTGACCGATGGGCCCCGAAACGATCGCGGCCACTTCGCGGCCCCAAAAGAAGGCAGAGAAGGTGGCGAAAAATCCCGTCATGGCTGGACCTTTGAAGGTCGCGTGGGTGAACGGGGATCTCGTTACATCGTCGAGACTTCTCAAGAGGATCTTCTGCTGCTGTCCGAGAAGCCTGCGGCGTGCGAACGTGCGTGCGAGAAGGGAGCGGTTGCTTGGTGGGACTAAGCGAATCCCATCAGTCAGGCGTCATCAGAGGACAGCTCAAGGAGCAGGACGGCCCATTGAGAACGTCTGTGTTACACTGTATTGGAATCTCTCTCTCCGTCTTCAGCCTCGTAGCTGGTGTGTCGGGAGTCGCACATGCTGCTGCGGGAGTCAGCGCTGCGGTGCAAAAGTTTCGCACGCCACAGCCGCCGCAGACACAGGTAACTGAATCGAGGAGTGGGTGCGATAAGCCAATGGGTGATCTCACGTGTGCCTATTGACTGTAATTTTTCAGGACACAGGAGTACAAGTCCCACCTCGGTAGACATCGACCTTGTCGGTTCTGTCCATGTTCCAAGCGATAGAGAATCAAGTCACTTCGGTTCGGACAGAAAGGCAATCAGCGGTGCTGCCCTGGTGAGTAGGTGATTTGTACCGAGTAGGCAGCGCGTGATGGACGTCTTCATGTCGCATATTAGCAGCCTGTCTGATGTGAAAAGATCCCTTCTGCACTAATATGCGATGAAAGACGTCGACTTAAATTGGTGCCGGCCGTTGTTGTCTTGTTGAATGACAGATGTGTGCCGCTCAGATCTCGTCGTTTCGCTATCACATGCATACATATCCGTATTGATCCGCACACCGCTGCAAGATCGCATCATCTCACCTACACATACCCACGCTCTCACACGTACGTATACATCCCCGCACACGACGGACCAACAAACTCTCGCGTGTGCTCACACGCACACTCGTGTAGACACTCGTACTCACGAGTCACGACACCTTCACTTCGCGCACACACGCCCAACACGCCCACTCATTAACGCTCAGTGGATCACCGGGTGCATCAAGTTGGTAGTCGTCACAAACCCGACCATAGAACGGCCAACCAACAACCGACATGGATGCAGGGACACACAGGTACGCATTGGCAACACAGACGGACAGGCTGACAGACAGAATCAGGGCTTCTCTATGGTGTTGCGGGAAAAAGCCAGACGTTCCACCGTGAGTGACCCTCTCGGTCAGTACTACGTGTGTGTAATTTCACTCATACTAGGTCCACTGAGCAGGTCCGGACAGTACGTACGTCCACATACGTGGCTGCAGCCATCCAACTGGCTGCATACGTCCACGTGCAGACCAACTGACGACGGACAGACATCACAGACGGAGAGAGAGAGAGAGAGAGAGAGAGAGACGACTAGGGTAGCAATAGGTGCGTATGCCGTGTACCACTTGAACACACATGGTACCCGGCCTCCATGAAGTGAACCGTACGCTACGTACATCCGGTGCCGACGACACTGCCGCATGGCCGTAGCCATCCACCCGAGCACCCAAATGAAAAAAACAACACACTCAGATGAAGCACCATCATGACCATTCCTCCGTGCAGCAGCAAGGCAGGCGGTTGCCATGCAGGGAGAGAGGGAGGGAGGGAAAGACGATCGACTGCTGATAGACAGGCAAGACACCCGAACAACACATCAAAAGGCAAGAGCAATACACTGCAGACGACAAGGCACAAGGGCACACACAGGTCAGGCGGACAGCCAAACCACTCATCCCTTTAAGCTTAGGACAGACAGCCGCACGACAAGGACGAGACTGCAAGTAGACGGCCATACAGGACGAAGGCATCCGGGCGGAAAGGCAAACAAACCATTCGTTCCCGTAAGCCTTCTCACTCACAAGACAGACAGACAGACAGACAGCCGCACACGACAAAGACACGACAAGAGCTGCATTCACTGCACTACACCAACAGACACTCACACTCACTGCGCTGAGACGGGCACCCAGGCAGGGCATAAAAATCGCCATCCATCGTGAAGACTCTCACACTTGCTGTGCTCCCACCCACCATGACAGTGAAACGGTATCACACACCGAACGAAGCGCTCACGCCAGGCATGAAACATGGACCGTCCCACATCCATCCAAGTGTGACACGCAACAGATAGAGACAGACAGACAGACAGACAGGGGGACTACCGTCACACAGCACTCCTGCGCATGCACTTGCCCCGCACGAACCGCACCAGCACCCCTCCAATGTTGGTGCCCGCCAACAGGATGGCCGCGAGGGTGACGGGGGGAACCACATCGGCCAGTCCGCCGAAACTGCTGCTCAGAAACACCGTCAGAAGCTGATCGGCGAGCAACACAGGATACCACCAGATGCAGCCATTCAGAGGGAGACGGGGAGGTGGGTGTCTTGTTTTGATGGACGCACCTGGAATATGAGCATGGGCACGTACCCCACCAGGGCCAGCATCTCCAGGTCTAGAAAGGCCTCACTCTTGACGGCGATTCCGAAGAAGGGCAGGTGCCGAAAATGACTCCAACACCTGACAGACAGACAGAGGTGCACACACGTGTGATAATCCGCCCAACGGACTGAGTCATCGATCTGTGAGCATACATACATGTGCAGGACACCGATCGAGAAGAAGCTGCTGAAGAGGACAAACACCAGCCCCGCCCCAGTGCCGCCGAACTCATGCTCATCCCGTTCCTCTTCAATGGTCGCCAAACGCACCACAGCATGCTCGCTGCTCTGCTCCGACTTGGTCGTGTCAGTGGAACCCTCCTTCTTGATGGCCAGCAGATCCACCAGGACAGTGGCGGGGCAGGACTCTGACGGCCGAGGCATCTTGCCGATGTGCACAGGCAGAGTGGTCTCCACCACCTCATCCGGCAGGTCCATGTCGCCATTGTGGGCAGCGTGGTGATTGCCGAAGACGGCCTCGGACGAGAGGGCACTAAAGGCGAATGACGGGCAGTACGACACCAGGGTATCGTCGCTGAACGTGGCCGGCGGGTGCTGGTTCTGGTGGACTGCCTCAGGTGCAGCATGAAGAACAGCCAATGTGGCTGATTTCTTGAGTGGTTGGGCGGGCTGGACGGCCGGCTGCTCTGCTTGCTCACACGTGGCGTCTGCGGGCTTGGCACTCTTATCCTTGGGTGGCTCGCGCTTTTTTCTTCGGAAGGTGAGGGCATACGACTCGTGGCGCGTCACCTAAGGCCCATCCACACAAGCGATAGCAACACCCCTGATCATGTATGTCTTCAGACTCGGCCACTCACCCATTTCAAGTTGTACAAGACGACAGTGATCTCGTTGAAGAAAACCATCGCCAGAAGATGGGCGCAAGCGGCCCAGAATATGACGCCCCTGTAGTCGATGCGGAACAGATACCCCACAAACACAACTGAGACAGACAGACACACACACAGAGAGAGAGAGAGAGAGCAGCCGCCATTCGCCATTTGGCCATCCATCCGCTTTTCTTCAGTGCGCCAACTGACCATGAGTGACTGTGCCGAGCCCGGCGACCACCGCCACGACCACTCGCCACACGACCGTGTTGGGGTACTGCTTCTTGCTACGCCGAGTGTAGGCGAACGCCGCGAAGACCAGACCACACACAGCCGCGAGATACGCAAACACCCAGGGGCTCAGCTGTGTGTCATTTGGATACATCATACACAAGACGATCGGTCTCGAGCGTCCTGCCTGCCTGCCTGCCTGCCTGCGGCCATGGACCATACCATCGCAGGGCAGCTCTGTCCGTAGGGCATCGACAGGCCGGGGATCTTCAGGAGGAGCAGAGAGAGCGATGAATACTTAGCTCGATAGTGATCCAAATTGCATGCATAGCCCTGATCTGAGCGCACACACAGACATACAGACAGACATGGATCGTCCGTCTGCTCGCCTTATCTCGATGAGTCTGTGCGTGTGTGTATTCTACCGATGAGTGTGGCTGGACACAGCCGGGGACCAGACACCACAATGGGCTCCACCTGCATCAGAATGCGAGACGCGTTTCATCTGTCCTTCCATGCATTCAGAACCATGGTGTCCGTCCGCTTGCCTGGTCAAGTCGCCACTCGGTGACATATTTCCACAACAGGCACTTGTGCTTCGTCGACGAGAAAGCCTCGCACTCGGGCTCCTCAACACACTGCACTCACATCCATCCATCCATCCATGCAGCAGTCTATGAGCAGCCGCGTGCATTCATTCGTGCGCGTCTGTCCGCACCAGATCTTGGCACTGAGATGGCGCATACGCCCTCCTGAGCACACACATGGGCAACGGAACAGCAAGGCGCAAAGGAATGGAGCTACTCGCTGCGGTCCATCTATCTATGTGTGTATAGCGCTTACACATCGAGGTCCGTTATCAGTGTGCTGCCGGGGGCCGGTTGGACACCCGCGTGATAGCACCCACAGTTGGTAAGCGTGCCGGCCTCCTCGAGCTCAAGGGGCCGCACCGGGTAGTTGAGGGCCACGAGGAGAAATGGTGGGATGCCCAGGTCCCCCCGCTGGTATGACCTCTCCTCCTTGGTGCCCTTCTTGCCTGCTGCGAGAGAGTCCGGACCGAGGGGCAGCCCGAAGTAGAGTGAAGGGTCGGCGGGCTGCAGGTGGACGCCGTCCTCAGTCAGAGGGGGCAGCGGTGGAGGGGGCCACGGCATGCCCTGTGGGGGGCCGCAGTCACGCGACTCCACCTGCATGGATGGACAGGCAGACAGACATATGGGGGGTCGGCTGACACGCCAGGCATGAAATCGCTTCTCATGCACTTACCCAGCCCATGATAGCCCCGGGTCTGCATATCTTGCGATCCTTTTGGCCGCAGAAATAGCAAACTCCTCTGACGATTTTCTCGTCTCGAGGGTATCGATCCAGCCACAGAAACGCGCGGCATCCCGGGATTTCACGGCAAAGGTCATGGCACTGCTCTGTCGTGACGTTCTCGACCCCCTGCCGATGATGGTGACGCGAGGTGGGATAGAGGCACGCCATCTGACACACACATACACACGCGATGACTGGCACTTTGACGCATGGTCGTGTCATCCTTTGTGTTTGTCCTCACGCACATTGTACTCGTAGCATGGTGACACGAGGGAGCCTGACAACCACACACACAGACGCAGCGAGTCCACGGACTCATCCATCTCTGGTTTTCTTGTGTGCGTGTGTGCTAGTGGCTGGCTGGCTGACCTTTGTCGCCGTCGGTTGAGAACTTGTCGCCAGAGACATACCAGTTGACATCGCCGCCCTCGCTCTCCTCCTCAGGCGCGTCACGTCGGCCCTGCACTTGGTCTCTGAAGAAACAGCCCTCCTTGCGGCTGAAGGTCCATGCCTTGCACTGCTCGTACACCTGGCAACCTGGCACACACCAACCACATGGACACCATGACTGACCGACCGATGCAGCGTCGTGTCGTGACTGCCCATGTATGTGGCTCATTTCCATGACTCATTTCCATGACTCCATCCACAACCATACCTCGCTGGCAGTCGCTGCCACACACAGCACATCCGTTGTGTGCGTGGGTGGGTGTTGCCTTCTTGTGTCATCTGTACGTGCTCACTAAGGTCGTTGGACAATGTGGCCGAGCGCATTGACATCAAATCCGACAGCAGGGGTCTCGCCGATCTTGTCCTCGAGGCCTATTGTAGTCACATTGACGGGCTCTGAGAGGTCCTCTCCCTCAAACACAGTGTCCCTGAGGGAGACGCAGTCGATCAAACCGATCACACACCCAGGCAGGCAGTCGTGAGCGTCTGTGTGTTCCTTCCTCTCTTCATCCACGCCGCGCAGGTGCATGTGGACGTACCATTCGTAGCAGGAGGCGTCTGGCGGTGGTGCAACTGTGACAGTCGAGCAGTCGCCAGATCCGCTGCCTTCGCACACACGGTCTTGATCTGTACGAGCAAACAAACACGCAGATGAATGGATGCTTCCGAACCCACCCTGCGCCTGCCTGTGCCCACCCACCCCTTGTGGCTTACCAGCGTATCCATACATTCTCCCCGATGAGTACGCGCATCCGAAGAGGCTTGCGTACAAGATCAGCACCAGCATCCCGACCACCATCCCGAATGCAGCACAAGGAAGGGCCCCTCAAGGAGAGAGATCAGAGAGATCCCCTTCTCCTCTACCGGCTTAGCTCGCAGACTCCCCCCCCTTTTGCAATGGTGAGCGCCTCTATACCGCCTTGCCTCTGTTCATCTGTCCCTGCATGATGTTGTCCTTTGTGTCAGGTTCGCGCGGGCAAGGTTGGCAAGGGTTTCGGTGCAGATGATGAGGAGACGCCGCGCGATGGCGATGACGAGGGGCCGCCATCGCAGGAGGAGGCCGCCAAGCGCATCCAGGCGAGGGCTCGGGGCATGCTCGCACGGCGGCTGATGCACGAAGGCCTGCCAAAGGAACACGTCAAGGCAAGTCATGGGGGAGAGAAGGGCACGACTGTCACGGTGATCCCGGGTGGTTGGTTGTTTGTGCAGTTGCTGGAGCAGATCTCAGCTGAGGAGGCGAGACGGCAATTTGATGCTTCAGCTGAAGCACAGGCAGGTCAGCAGCGAGAAAACGGGCCTGCCTGTGGGGGGAAATAGCGTCATCGAGCGGTGCGTATGTTGGTGCAGTTGGTCAGTCTCCGCTTGGGGGAGCCCGTGAGGAACTGATGAAGAGCTCCATCAGCTTCACTGAGGTCCTCGGGGCCTCCAAATACCTCCATGAGCAGAACCTTGCGGACCTCTTCAGAGTGAGCCGTGAGGAAAGCTACACGTCTATGTCTCTGCGAGTGAAGGGCGTTCGTTGCCTGTCCGGCGTCCGCTGCCTGTCTGTCTGTCTGTCTGTGCTCCCTCCCCCAGGGTCTCTTGTCGAGGGTGCTCCTCCACAGGCCGACGGATGTGCGCTCATTCCTGCTCAAGGCACGGACAGATACATATACAAGTACATGTATCTCTTAAGTGATACACACACTACAAATGCAGGAACTGGAGGCGATGCGCGGCGAGAGTGACGCAGCCTTCAAGGCCCAGCCGCCCCACGCGAGCGTCTCGTCGGCCATCTTGACCCGGCAGGACGCGTCGGCGCTGTTCGGCATGCTGGGTCGGTGAGATGTGTGACTGTCGTCTGGCGGCATGTCGCATCGATTTGTATGTTGCCTTGGTATGTTTAGATCCATTGCGCAGCGGGTTTGCTGAGAGGTCTTTGGTGCTGCAGCTGCTGTGTCGCCTGGAGCCAGCGACGGAGGGCGAGTGGGCTGCACAGGTGAGAGGAGGGAATTCGAAACTGGTGCACACACATTGCACGATCGGTGCGACCCTATGTCTCTGTCTCTGTCTGTCATGTATGTGGGCAGTGTTTGTCTGACGCCGTTGAGCGGCAGGGGGCGAGGGGCACCAAGGGCAAGGTCAGCAATCATGGCAACACACATCGAGACAGACACACGGGATGTGCGCTTTAGTTGGTGTTTGCTGAATGCTGCACTGCACGCTGCAGATAACGGAGGACATGTTCGAGCGTGCGCTTGAGATTATGGGTTTCATCGCAGAGCAATGACAATCGACCGACCGGGAGGATGGATGGATGGATGGATGCTGCTGTGCTGTGCTGTGTGTGAGACGTTCATTCTTCAGTCGTCATTTTGTGATGGACGAGTGGTCGATTTGGATTTCAAGAAAGCGTGTGATGTCTTTCTGTGTGCGTGCAGGTGAGACGGTGTGTGTGCTCATGCACATCAATATCTTATATTGAGTGGCTTTCCCACCATTCCGTCCGAAAGTCACATTGTCAGTCAGTGTGCACCAGCGTACGAAAAGCAAGCGACCACACGCCACCCACACCGGCATCCCTCCACACATCCACCAGTGCCGCGAGTTGCTGCGTTACAACCAAACCAAACTGTCGACAAGACAGAGGGGGGGCGGCTGGGGGTGAGTGAGTGAGTGAGTGGAGAGATATACACACACCGCACTCATGGAATATCATCATACGCCAAAGGACACTCAATACCAACGACACTCAGGCTCCCGCGAAATACAACACACTTAGAAAACCCCAGGGAATCACATGATCCATCCAACGCACCCACCACTCCAGCCAATCTACAGGCAGACAGACAGTCGTGTGGGGCCGTCAGTGGGCAGCCACTTGTGGGTGTGGGGATGCAAAGAGGCGTCAAGGAGGTGCGTGCTGACATTGTGTGTGTGCGGACGATACGACCCGACAAACAGAGAGAGACGTCGACAGAGAGACAATGAGAGAGTCAGCCACGTGTGTGTCTCAGAGCCACCACCACACTTCGGTGGATGGCCAGCTATCATCAGCTGGCACCTGCTACACCAATCTAAGGAAATTCTCGGCGAGAGACAGGGAAAGAAAAACCGTTAAAGATGAATCGATTTTCTGCGTACGCATTCCACTCGCCGAATTGTCCGCGTATACTCGGAATGAGAACAAGACCTTCCTGCCGTGCTGCAAGAACAAGCTTAATTGCAGCCATGTCGCCTCTGTTTGCAATTGTGTTTACAGCTGATGCCGGCAAGCTGATTGCTGGCCGAGGACTCTCGATGTCAATGTGCCCGACTACAAGCATGAGATTGACGCCCGTGAGGAGCACTCTCGTGAGTCTGGTCAAGAGATTGTGCCCGCCGAAGACGCCGACGTGAGCAGCCGAGAGCATTGCTACGCGTGTGTGCTGCTTCACTGATGTTGACTGGCCATCCGATTGTCTGTGTGTTTGTCTGTTTGTGTTCGCAGCTGATAGCGATAGACGTCTGCCGCACTCGCCAGGGCTACGGGCTCTTCCAGGATGAGAAGACCCAAGACGACCTGAAGGCTGTGTTGGCACACTACTGTGCCAAGCGCCAGCCTGAGATCCACCACTATAAGCAAAGTATGCTATGCACCCACACGACAGCTGCACGCAGCTGTCGATAATTCATCTGTTTATGTCTGTTTGTCTGTGTGTGGTTCACACAGGCACCAATGAGATCCTGGCGCCCTTCTGTCTGCTGCAGCCCTACCCAAGCCGTCCGCAGCTGTTGGGCTGCCTGGACATGGTCATCCGCAAGCTGGCGCCGCGGATGAGCCACGAGGCCGAGGAGACCATGTCGAGCATCTCCCCAAAGGCGCCATTGAAGCCGCTCCACCTCATGATCGAGGCCTCCAAGTACGGGCAGTGTGGAACTCTGATCGGTCAGTCACTGTCGTTGTGCGTGTGTGTGTGTGTGTGTGTATGTGTGTTTGATCAGACTGCTGCTACGGTTCCACGACCCTCTGCTCAGCAAGTTTCTCCACGACCAAGAAGTCGTGCAGGACAGTCACCTCCTCAAGTGAGCCACACAAGCGGCAGCCTCTCTCCCTCTCGCACCGACGGCCGTGTGTGGCGCTGTGTGTGTTGGGTACATGCAGGTGGTATTCCACTCTGTTCACGAGGGTGCTTCGAGGACGTGCACAATGTGCTGGGCCTCTGGCGGGCGTGCCTCGACCACAAGGTGCGTGGGTGTGGACGACACAGACATGCAACGACACGCGATCAGCTCGTCCCCTGCTGTCCTCCCTCGTGTGTGTGTGCCTGGTCAGCCCTCGCACTCCAAGATTTACTTTGTCGGGCTGGCCTGGCTGATGATCATCCGCCAGAAGCTACTCAGCAGCAAGTTTGACGCCCTCCAGCGATTCCTGCTTGGCAGATTCGACACACACAGTGGGCAAATCATCTGAGGGGCAAAACGGCACACACAGCGATCGGTATGATGTGTGTGTGTGTGGGGGGGGGGGGGGGGGG